AAAACCTTCAGCCTCCAGCGGGACAGCAGCACCTGGGGACACCAAAATCACCTGGGGACACCAAAAATCACACCTGGGGACACCAAAACTCACCTGGGGACACTGAAACTCACCTGGGGACACCAAAATCACACCTGGGGACACCAAAACTCACCTGGGGACACCGAAATCACACCTGGGGACACCAAAATCACACCTGGGGACACCAAAAATCACCTGGGGACACTGAAATCACACCTGGGGACACCCAAAATGTACCTGGGGACACCAAAATCACACCTGGGGACACCCAAAATCACACCTGGGGACACCAAAAATCACCTGGGGACACTGAAATCACACCTGGGGACACCAAAATCACACCTGGGGACACCGAAACTCACCTGGGGACATTGAAATCACACCTGGGGACACCAAAATCACACCTGGGGACACCAAAACTCACCTGGGGACACCCAAAATCACACCTGGGGACACTGAAATCACACCTGGGGACACTGAAACTCACCTGGGGACACCAAAATCACACCTGGGGACACTGAAATCACACCTGGGGACACCAAAATCACCTGGGGACATTGAAATCACACCTGGGGACAGCAAAAATCACCTGGGGACACTGAAACTCACCTGGGGACACCAAATTCACACCTGGGGACACCAAAAATCACACCTGGGGACACCAAAAATCACACCTGGGGACACCGAATTCACACCTGAGGACATTGAAATCACACCTGGGGACAGCAAAAATGGACCTGGGGACACCGAAATCACACCTGGGGACACCAAAATCACACCTGGGGACAGCAAAAATGTACCTGGGGACACTGAAAATGGACCTGGGGACAGCAAAATCACCTGGGGACATTGAAATCACACCTGGGGACACCAAAACTCACCTGGGGACACCGAAATCACACCTGGGGACACCAAAACTGTACCTGGGGACAGCAAAATCACACCTGGGGACACCAAAAATCACCTGGGGACCCCAAAAATGAACCTGGGGAACCCCAAAAATGGAACTGGGGACCCCAGAATTCACCTGGGGACCCCAAAATGTACCTGGGGACCCCAAAAATTCACCTGGGGACCCCAAAAATCACATCTGGGGACCCCAAAACTGAACCTGGGACCCCAAAATCTGCACCTGGAGACCCCAAAATTCAACTGGGGACCCCAAAACTGAACCTGGGACCCCAAAAATGAACCTGGGGAACCCAAAAAATGGAACTGGGGACCCCAAAATTCACCTGGGGACCCCAAAAACTGAACCTGGGACCCCAAAATCACATCTGGGGACCCCAGAAATGAACCTGGGGACACAAAAATGTACCTGGGGAACCCAAAAATGGAACTGAGGACCCAAAACTGAACCTGGGACCTCAAAAATCACCTGGGGACCCCAAAATTCACCTTGGGGACCCCAAAATTCACCTGGGGACCCCAAAATCTGCACCTGGAGACCTCAAAATTCACCTGGGGACCCTAAAATTCACACCTGGGGACCCCAAAATTGTACCTGGGGACCTCAAAACGAAAGCTGGGAACCCCAAAATCTGCATCTGGGACCCCAAAACTTACCTGGGGGGCCCCAAAATTCACCTGGGGGGCCCCAAAATCTGCACCTGGAGACCCCAAAATTCACCAGGGACCCCAAAATTCACCTGGGGGACCCCAAAATTCACCTGGGGACCCCAAAATTCACCTGGGGGCCCCAAAATTCACCTGGGGGGCCTCAAAATTTACCTGGGACCCCAAAATCCACCTGGGGGGCCCCAAAACTTACCTGGGGGGCCCCAAAACTCACCTGGGACCCCAAAATTCACCTGGGAACCCCAAAATCTGCATCTGGGACCCCAAAATTCACCTGGGGGCCCCAAAACTGAACCTGGGGGGCCCCAAAATTTACCAGGGGGACCCCAAAATCTGCACCTGGAGACCCCAAAATTCAACTGGGGACCCCAAAATTGTACCTGGGACACCAAAAATTACCTGGGGACCCCAAAAATGGAAATGGGGACCCCAAAATTCACCTGGGGACCCCAAAATTCACCTGGGGACCCCAAAATCTGCATCTGGGACCCCAAAAATCATCTGGGGACCCCAAAATTCACCTGGGGGGCCCCAAAATTCACCTGGGACCCCAAAACTGAACCTGGGGGGCCCCAAAATTTTACCTGGGGACCTCAAAACTGAACCTGGGACCCCAAAAATCACCTGGGGATCCCAAAATTGTACCTGGGACACCAAAAATCACCTGGGGACCCCAAAAATGGAAATGGGGACCCCAAAATTCACCTGGGGACTGGGGACCCCAAAATTCACCTGGGGACACCAAAAGCTCACCTGGGACCCCAAAACGAAAGCTGGGAACCCCAAAATCTGCATCTGGGACCCCAAAACTTACCTGGGGGGCCCCAAAATTCACCTGGGGGGCCCCAAAATCACACCTGGGACCCCAAAATTCACCTGGGGGCCCCAAAATTCACCTGGGGGGGCCCAAAATTCACATGGGGACCCCAAAACTGAACCTGGGACCCCAAAATTCACCTGGGGACCCCAAAATCTGCACCTGGAGACCCCAAAATTCACCTGGGGACCCCAAAATTCACCTGGGACCCCAAAATTTACCTGGGAACCCCAAAATCTGCATCTGGGACCCCAAAATTCACCTGGGGGGCCCCAAAACTGAACCTGGGACCCCAAAACTGAACCTGGGGGGCCCCAAAATTCACCTGGGAGCCCCAAAACTTACCTGGGGGGCCCAAAATTCACCTGGGGGCCCCAAAACTGAACCTGGGGGACCCCAAAATTCACCTGGGGGCCCCGAAATCTGCACCTGGAGACCCCAAAAATCATCTGGGGACCCCAAAATTCACCTGGGGACCCCAAAATTCACCTGGGGGACCCCAAACCTGGTTACTGGGAGTTCCTGGGAGTTCCTGGGGAGGCCTCACCTGTTCCGGGTTTGGCTCCGCCCCCTCAGCTCCCAGGCCCCGCCCCCTCCACACTTCCAGCTCCTCCTCCAGGATTTGGCTCCGCCCCTTTTCTGCCTCAAGCTCTGCCTCCAGGGTTTGGCTCCGCCCCTTTTCTGCTCTAAGCTCTGCCTCCAGCGCTTGGCTCCGCCCCTTTTCTGCTCTCAGCTCCGCCTCTAGCGCTTGGCTCCGCCCCTTTTCTGCTCTCAGCTCTGCCTCCAGCGCTTGGCTCCGCCCCTTTTCTGCTCTCAGCTCCGCCTCCAGCGCTTGGCTCCGCCCCTTTTCTGCTCTCAGCTCCGCCTCCAGCGCTTGGCACCGCCCCCTCAGCGCTTTAAGCTCCGCCTCCAGGTCGTGGCCACGCCCATTTTCTCCATCAAGCCACGCCCCCAGCGGCCTGCGAGGGGAATGGGGGATACTGGGAGTTACTGGGAATGGGAACTGGGGATACTGGGAGCACTGGGAATGGGAACTGGGGATACTGGGAGTTACTGGGAATGGGAACTGGGGATACTGGGAGCACTGGGAATGGGAACTGGGGATACTGGGAGTTACTGGGAATGGGAACTGGGGATACTGGGGGTTACTGGGAGTTACTGGGGGTTACTGGGAGTTACTGGGATCACTGGGAGGTTACTGGGGGTTACTGGGAGTTACTGGGAGCACTGGGAGGTTACTGGGAGGTTACTGGGAGTTACTGGGAGTTACTGGGAGCACTGGGAGCCTCACCTGGAGCGCAGCACGAAGTGGGAGGGGGGGATGAGCCCCCCCAAACTGGGAGGGGGTAACTGGGAGCACTGGGAGGAACTGGGAGGGGGTAACTGGGAGCACTGGGAGGAACTGGGAGCAAACTGGGAGCACTGGGAGGAACTGGGAGGAGCCAGGCGGGGTTCGGCCATCGCGATCTGTGGGGGGAACAGTTCCCAGTAAGGACCAGTATGAACCAGTATGGACCAGTAAGGACCAGTACAGCCAGTCCGCAGCCCCAGTCCCTCCCAGTCCATCCCATTTCATCCCAGTCCCTCCCAGTCCATCCCAGTCCATCCCAGTCCATCCCAGTCCCTCCCAGTTCCCTCCCAGTCCATCCCAGTCCCTCCCAGTCCATCCCAGTCCCTCCCAGTCCATCCCAGTCCATCCCAGTCCATCCCAGTCCATCCCAGTTTATCCCAGTCCATCCCAGTCT